ATCAGAGTACATGAGAGAATATCAAGCACGAAAAAAAAAAAAAAAAACATTGCAGAATACTCTCTTAATGCCAAATTTAATAACAAACAGAAAAATAGTGCAAGTACATCAAATGCTACTGCCAAATCTCCATCAAAGTACACATGAGATAATATCGAGCATGAAAAAAAATTGCAAAATTCTCTCTTAATGCGGAGTTTAAGAGATAGGGGAGAATGCTATTGAGACTCTTCTTATGACAGCACAGATTAATACGGACTTTGTGAACCACCCAGTGCCATCAACTACAGAACCCTCAACAAGTCTAGTTCGTGTTGGAACTGATGCATGTGAATCGATAACAAATTCTATCTTACGTTACAATGACTATGATTTCTATAAAAATGCGTGGCCATGGTAGCCTAGTGGTCAAAGTATCAGATCGTGGCTGGCGTGTCATGAGTTCGAGCCGAGTACCACTTAAGACCCGCCGTGTAGGGGAGCGATGCACGTTAAATCTGTTCAGAGTTCAAACGTCTTCCCGTTGGTGTGATAGTTAAGAGAGGGGGGAGTGCCAGCTCAGGTGACGTCCTCGTCACTTGACCATGGTTCAAAATTACGAAGTCCGTCACCAAAAGCCCTCGTATAGGTGAACAGAGCACCGTTAATATTCCCTCACCCATAAAAATGCTCACAAAGATTTTCAAAAGCTATTCGATGATAATCCTTTCGGTCACGGGTGTTCGATTTGTGATAGATTATGGTTTGGAGATGATTTGAGAACGCCCGTTGTGCTGAGCAGAAAAATATTTTACTGGAAATTAATTTAGAAAACATTAAGGAATATTACAATTGTCGACAAAGTTTAAGTAGGAAAAGTATACCAAATTTATCAAAATATAATAGTTTTGCATACCCAGAAATTCCAGCATATCTTCCTACTTTGGATTTGGTATCAGAAAGACTCAATTCGCCACGAATACTTTTCATGCAAATTAGGTGATTGAGACATGTGCACTGTCAGTTTGGAATATTAGAGCAAATAATCAATGTTCCAAAGAAGTTTCACTTCTATTGCGTGGCTTTCCTTGCATCATTTTTTAAATTTCCTGTGAGTATGTTTGGTTTAATAACAAAGAGTGTTCAAACAAATGCATCAGAGAAGCTCCGTAGGCGAAAGACGAGCTCTCCCTACTAGTAGTGACGTCACAAATCAGCAC